TACTTTGTGACTGTCATGATTACTAAGCAATAAACAGTATTTTATTGCGAGGACTGATACACAGAGTTTGCTGTGTATCCCAGGGGTTGCTTCCTCCTGGTGGCATCTCCCAGTGCTCCCTGCTTGCCTGGCTCTGCTGCTCTGGTTTAAGGAGGTTTTCAGCTGGCACCATTTCATCCCCCTCTGCCACAGCCCTTCAGCTCTGCTGCTGTCCCCAGACCTGCCCTGGGCACAGGGGAGAGTGTTCTGTGTGTGCAAACAAACGTGTCTGTGCACCATCATCTGCCCGTGCTCACAGCTGTGCTTACTTTATGCTGCATATAGAAGAAAAGAAGATTATTTATGAGCTAATCATGATGTGTTCCCCAAGCAAAACATTTTCTGCTCTGATTTATTACTCACTTTAGGCCTGCCCCCAAGCATTGTTCTTATATTTGGAGCCAGTCGCATTTTTTTCCCATTTGGAAATGGAAATCCTAAATGTAATGGCATATTTAATGGAAAAATACCCTGACAGTTACTTGGAGGGAGGAGGAATTTTATTTCTCTGTTTACCCATTTTATGTTTGTTTTCTTTCTCACCTCCTTCCTTTTATTCTTTCTCTTATCTCTGACAAAAAGGAAGGAAAACCACTATTTGGAGGCAAAGTAGGAGCAATATTTTGTCCTCATTTTCAGTTAAGAGATTAGAAAAGTTCAAAAGTTTTACCCAGAAAAAGTCCACATGAAAAGTACCTGTCATTTTCTGATTAGCACTGTGATACTATTGATCAAAAGTATCCAGCCAACGAACCTGTGTAAATTAAACACGCTTGTGCACTCTATGGAGCCAGCATTTCTTGGCAACTACAAAAGAAATGCTTTTTCTGTTTTAATTCAGAGAGATTTACAAAGCTTATGCAAGTGGCCTTAGAGCTTGGGTTTCTTTTTATCTCACAAATATCAAAAAAGAGAGGTTTCTTCCCCCCCCCGCCTTCTCTTGCTAAAGGACTTCTCGGAGGACCAACAAAATCAAATTAGTTTTGTAGGCTGCACTTAGAAGATAGAGGAGAATGCAGGTCTTTAACAAATTGAGCTTTTCTCCCATGTGTTTCTCAGGAGTTTTGATTCAATCAATCTCAGAAGAGTCTTTACACAGTCTGAATAAAAATTCTTTTAAAATCCATTTTTAAACTTTTCTCCCTTCCTCCATTTTTAATTCCCCTCAGTAGCTCAGAATTCCTTTCTGTTTTGAGGCATGAAATCCCTTTAGCTCTATTGCCTACACAGCAAAGGAGGAGAACAAAGCAAGAGAATATGAAAAAGAAAACAACCCCCAAGAAAATAATTAATTTTCTTTTTTTCAAAAACCTTATCCATCATTATGCCATAAGAAAACAACAACAACAAATTATTACCAAAACATACACTTTTTCCCTGTCTTGTGGGAACACAGACATCTATCAAGCAAGAGAGAATCCTGTGCTATTGTGTTTGGTTACTAATATGGATACACAAACTGCCCCTGCTGTAGCCTCCAGGAATGTTGTCACCAAACAAATGTTGCCATTGAAGTGTTAGTAGGAGGTCCATTAGGAAATTCGAGGAGGAAAAAAAACCCTTTTTTTTTTTTTTTTTTTTTTTTCCCTTGGGAAGGGGGGTGTTGCGTAGGAAAACCAGCTAATAGCTAAATCTGGAAGTACAGCTGGGTGCTCTTAAATTAGAAATCTTTAGGAGGTCTCCCACACATCCCTGCAAGTTTGCTGAAGAGTTGTGCATTGCTGCAGATATGTTTCACCTCCTCCAGATTTTCTGTTTCTTGCTAAGCTTCTCCATGGCTTTAAGCCTCTCTCAGTTAACTCCCCAGTGTCTCTCTGGTCAGGGTCTCACTCCTCTTCCATCCCTCCTTCCAATTCTCTTAGTTCCTTGGTATGGTTTCAGTCCTGTATCTCAGCTGCTCAAGAGGACAGAAAATTGGCTCAGTGGATTGCTCCCCTTCTCCATCAGCTGTCCCTGTTTATCTCATTAAGAAAAAAATAAGCTGATCCAGACGTATGAGTAAAAAAACCCACTTATTTTCTTACCCATTTTCTTGCATCACTCTCCCCTGCAGGCAATTTGATTTTTGTTTTACAATACAGGCAGAAGGTAATTTTCCTACATACAGTGTTGCTTGGCCCTGAATCTGGTGGATTGTCAATTTTCCCCTGTTTGCAGCTGAAAATAATTTTTCAGAAAAGATAGTCCTGCTCCAGTCTGAGACGACCAGCACAGGGTTTGAGCTCTGCTTTTCAAGGACTCGTGCACAAAAGGCTGTGTTCTGCAACTCACACCTAAGCCTGGATCTCAAACCCACACAATTTTGGTACTTGTAAGCAATGGGATTATTTCACCAGAGAGTTGGACAGTTTTTCCAGGATCAGTGATTGGATGAATATATGGTTAGAGATACGGGAGAGAAGTAGCTCCTCTCTTACTGTTGATACACAAAGCAAATTTCTTTTAAAAATGTGAATACTTACCAGTTACTGAGCAGGCTTTGAGGCTGCTGCACGCAGGGAATTATTATTACCACGTTTAGTGGGAGGGAAAGAACAACAAGAAAAGAATAATAATCAATTACTGTTCCTCAATGCCTTCCTCGCGAAGGCTAAAATGGATCTTGGTTTGAAGCTAAAATAAAGCGGAATTGTGCTCATTGTTTCAGGAAGGAGCCGCAGAAATCAGGTGCTTTGTGCTCAGGGCCTCTAGAGGTCCCCAGAACCTAATTAATGAGCAGCCTGTGAGGTGCAAATTGCTTTGTTTTCATCGGGATTTTCCACCTCTGCGGCTCTGGGTCTCCGCTGTCCCGAGGAATGCGGGAAATTACCGGGAATAACAGGAAAGGCTGGAGAGGCCGGGCTGTGCAGGAGGCAGCTCCCTCTGGGGCACCAGGCACAGCCACTGAAGTGGCTTTTGTCCCCTGCCCGCTGTTCCCATTCTACCCCTGTGCTAAATCCCACCCTGGCACAGCCCCAGGCTCTGCTCCCCTGGGCAATGGCTTTGCCACACCCAGGCAATTCCAGGGGTATTGCCAGAACAGTGACTCGAAAGGGGACACGTGGCCAGGATCCTTCTAGCATGGTTTATTATTCTTCTGCCATTCTTCCAGCATGGTTTCCTTCCAGGTCACCCTGTGCTGCATTTACAGGGAGAGCTGCAATTATGATGAAGCGGTTGTCATGCGGTCAGGGACCTCATCTGCTTCATGCAAGAGCAGAAGGGAAAGCTCAAGTAATTTCCCTGGAACTCCCTCCAGAGTTTAGGAATGAGACAGGCTAGGGAACTTGGTACAGTTGAGGGAGACTGTTTATTTCAAGACAGCAAACAGAAGCTGATCCTTTCAGGAGAAATTCCTCTGGGGAGAGTAAAGTTATTTATTTTGGGAGCAGTCAGTGGAACGGAGGCCTGTGGTGTCTCTGCAGAGGGATTTGTCTCTCTGGAAAGGCAGGAGTCCTGAATGCAGACGAGTGGCCTGTACCCTGCCAGGATGCTGAGGGTAGTTTGGGGGGGCTGCTGCAAGAGGATCCCCACAAAGGGCTCCTTTGCTTTTGGGTATAAAACACTGCAAGCCCAGGATGTTTCCTTGGAGTCCGAGGAGCTTTTCTGGATGCAGAACAGGAGATGAGGCTTTTCCCTTTCTGCAGTCTGTACAGGAGCTCCTGGCTGTGGCCTTTCCCTTGCCAGGTGGCAGCAGGTGACTCCCCTGTGCCCTGCTCTGGAGCAGCAGTGATGGGATCTCCCCGAGGGTGTTTGCTGGGATTAGCAGGTGTGTTATTTTTGCAGACTGGAACTGTGATGCTGCAGGTTGGCAGGAGTCCACGTGTCAGTTCCTAATCCCAGGCAAAGCCCTGAGAGGTCAGTAAAACCACAAACGGAGGCAAGTGCCCACCTAAAGGAGGTCAGGATTATATTCCTAGTAGCATACTATTCCCAGAGAGAAAACACAGCCATTCTTTATTTCCTCCCCTTTCAAAAGATGCACAGAGTTAAGGGCTTCCCTTCTCAGTTCCCTTTCAAGGCAGGGTCCTAGTGAAACCTTGCTGTTTCTTCCCCTTTTCCAAACAGCAATCTCATCAAAATTTCTTGGTGGCTGCCATCTGTTGCAAGCAGAACACCACCCCTTTTGCTATTTACAGTGCAATTAACCTTCAGCAAATTAGCTTGTGACTGTCATGAAAGGATTAATTAAGGCAACACACCCTTGACTTGTTCCCACTGTGCATTTGTGCAGGTGCACCCACAGCTCTGCCAAAGCCCTTCCAGAGTCAAGGGAGTAGTTTTTATCCTTTATTATCCCAACAAATTAGCCAGCCAGGGGAGATGCTTGAGGGATGGGCTCCAGCAGCCACAGTCCCACGGAAGTAGCTGTGGAGATAGAAGACCTGGCCTTGCCCAGCAGTGCGGGTGCTTCCCTGTGTCACTGCCCTGGAATCAGGATGTGGGGCCATGACTCAGCCAGCTCAGCTCACAGTTGTAGTTGAAGCAGCCAAAGGATGAAGCTGCTTCCAAAATATCAGGCTGTGATGTGCTGCAGCCGTGCTTTGGAAGCACAGCCTATTTTGCCTAGCACCATCAGACTTCCATCTGGATTGCCATGCCTGGGAGGCACGGGAGGCCAAGGCTCCCTGAGAGCCCCAGACCCCTGATCTGTGCAGGATGTGTCCGGGTTAGCCAGGCTTGGAGAATCCTCAGGGAGATAAGCAAATTCTCCCAGCTCCAGCACAGCCTGAGTACTGATGGAAAAACAGGCTTTGGCCAGAGAATTCCAGCACGGTGGCCCTGCCTCTGCTCTTCTTCCCACCAGCTGTAACTCCTGGCAGAGAAACAGCGAGACTGGTAAAGGCTGTCATGTCTTAAAGCAAAGCAGCTTCTTGTTGTTTAATCCCAGATGGCAACTAAGTACCAGCAGCTGCTCACTCACCCACCTCCTGCTTCTGTGGGATGGGGAGGGGAATTGAAAAAAAGGCAAAACTCATGGGTTGAGATAGAACAGTTCAATACTTGAAGTAAAAAATAATAACAGCAATAATAATAGGAAAAAAAGAGATGCATAAACCCCACGAGAGACAAGTGATGCAGAGTACAGCTGCTCACCACCCACTGACCACTGCCCAGCCTGTCCCTGAGCAGTGGTCAGCCCCTCCCAGCCAGTATGGACAGTTCATATGGACATGACATTCTGTGGTGAGGAGTACCCCTTTGGCCAGCTTGGGTCAGCTGTCCTGGCCATGCTCCCTCACAGCTCCTCACTGGCAGAGCACGAGGCACTGGAAAGTCCTGGATTTAGAGTAAGCACTGCTTAACACACTGATGGTTTAGTTGTTGTTCTCATACTGAATCCAAAACACAGCACTGTACCAGCTACTGGGAGGAAAATTAACTCTCTTCCAGCCAAACCAGGACACAACTGTAAGAGATGATATCCTGAAGGCAAAAATCTCAGGGCTCAAAGCTGCAGGAGAGCAGCTGCTGCACAGCAGTGCAGTGCCAGGGAATACCTGCATTGCTTTTGTTCTGCTGTCAGGAGCCCCGTGGCTCACACTGTCTCGCCCAGCATGGGCTTGTCCCGCTGTAGCTCTGGCACTGCCACCTTCTCCTCATGCTGAGAAATATCCCACAGATTGGATGTGGGAGATGACATCAGCCCAGGGCCTTTTCAAACCACAGCATCACCTCCACTCCTCAAAGTTACAGAGAATTATGATCTCTGGTAGTGCTCCACACTTGTATTTCTTTGTCACTGAGATTCTTAGGGCACGGCACACAGCCACACTGTTCTGACAAACCTGGCAGTTTTTTTTATTGCCATCCAATGTAAACCCCTTGCTTGCATTTCTTTGGACCCATTAATTTTGAAAGCACAGCTAAAGTAAATAAATAACCTTGTTTTGAGCTCAGTCCATGCTTGGATGTGCCAGGTAATACAATGTTGTTATTCCTTGATGATGAAAGTGTTAACTAATGTTGTCTCTTATAAGAAGAAATCAGGTATAAAATTACATCATCATTAACGCAGTTCTGTCATCTGTTTGCATTCTTCTCTGATTTCTGAATGTTATCTGGGCTGGAAAACCTGGAGGCTTTCGGGGTTTTGCATTTGTGTGTGCATCCTAAGGAATCTTGAGTGCATAGGGACCTAGATGTACACTATTCCCAGCCTCCTCCTGGTTTTCTCTGATGGAAAAATACTTAAGAATCTGCTTGGGTGATACCAGCACTGGGGCCCTGGGCAACAGCATGCTCTGATCCTGAGGTGTGCATAAACACAGCCTGTGGTGACACAAATAGGTGACAACCAGTCAGCACTACTGGGAGGAAAGGCTGAGCCAGCCTCTGATGTGATGATGGCAAACACAGAACTCTTCACACTCTTCTGGAACAGACATTTCTACCCATATTCAGGGCACCCAAAAAGCTGGCAGGGAGGAGTTAAGGATGATCCCAGTTCCAGCCTTACCCTCTGTGTTGCAGCAGTACCTGGGCAGGGTGGCAGCTGCCCAAGCCCACAAAAGAGGCTGCAGCTTCACAGATGATGACAGCACTGTGAAGACTGCACCACAAATTAAATAACAATAAAATGAAAATAAAGCATAGTTGATACTGTATAATGAACCTGATGAGTGTACTAAATCATTACACAACTACTTCTTACGTGATTACTAAGTCCTTAACTAAGGACATGAGGAGTGACCAATGTAATTTGCTGGGTTTATGGGCATTATTTGGAAATTCAGGTTCTTATCTAGTTCCTTAGAGACCTGTCTCTTGCCTTATTTAGTAGCAAAAACTAACCAGACTCCTGCTGCCACAGGAACCATAAGTCAAAGTCTCGAGATGTTCCCACTCAGGGTGAATGTAAACTCAGTGTAAACCAAAGTGAGTGGCAGTTTGCCATCGTGCACTGAGCTGTCACATGGGGCCCAGGACGAGCAGCTGTCCCCTGCCTGTGTGAGGGATGGTGACCTCCAGCAGAGGGGCAGGGTGGACTCCTGGCCATGCAAATCCATTTACCTGGGCTGAATCCAACAAGGATCCCGGCTCTGAGCCCTTGGCAAGGGGTTTTGCATCTTACAGGAGGGTGAGCTCCACCAGCCCCAGGAAGACCGTGGTGGATCTGTCAAGATGTGGTGGATGAGGAAGTTCTTCAGCTGCAGGAGAGGAACAATGGCGTGTGTGGGGCTGATGAGCTTTTCCTAATTTCCAGTGAGTCAAGTAAGGTTAAATAGTCTATCTTCAGTGAACTGGGTCGTTCGTAGTGACCTGTTCTGTAAAAGTGGCCTCTGATGCAGAAAATCTGGTGAGCTGTTAAAGAAGTTAAGGCACTTTTCATTTCCCCTTCAAGGCCGAAGCACAAGTTGATTAGGAACACTAAGATGATTACCTCTGCTTTGCTGTATCTCTCAATTATGCCCTAATTAATATTGATTAAAATCTGGCAAAGGCAGCTTAAAACCCCAGCAAAAGCACCTGCTGGGGTTTTATCTTCAGTTACTTCTTCACCCAAGACCTACAGCTCATAAACTGCACAGTACAGTCTGATTATTGCAGATCCAGCTGCATCTGTGATGGCTGGAGCCTTCTCCTACAAACAACAGCTTGGTCCAGCTGTTTAAGGAAGGATTTGTCATGGCAGCTCTTAGCTCGGGATCCCTGCTTGTTAATGTGAGATCCCAGACAACAGGCTTGGGATCTCTTAGTTTTAAACTAAATGTCTCTCCCCCTGTACTGGGTGCTGGTGAGGCCACACCTCAAGTGCTGTGTCCAGTTCTGGGCTGTTCAGTTCAGGAGGGACATTGAGGGGCAGGAGAGAGCCCAGAGAAGGGAACAGAGCTGGGGAAGGGTCTGGAGCACAAGGAGAGGCTGAGGGAGCTGGGAATGTTCAGGCTGGAGAAAAGGAGGCTCAGGGGTGACCTCACTGCTCTCTACAACTCCCTGACAGGAGGGTGTAGCCAGGTGGGGACTGGTCTCTTCTCCCAGGTAACCAGTGCCGGAGGAGAGGACCATCAGGGGAGGTTTAGGTTGGACAGCAGGAAGGATTTCCTCACAGGAGGTATTACAATGGAATGGGCTGCCCAGGGAGGAGGTGCAGTCACTGTCCCGGGAGGTGTTTAAGGAAAGGCTGGATGTGGCACTCAGTGCCCTGCTCCGGTTGACACGGTGGTGTCCAGTCATAGGTTGGACCCGATGATCTCCGAGGTCTTTTCCAGCATAATCCAACCTGTGATTGTGTGAAGAAAGCCCTGGAGATGGGGAGCTGTGAACTCTGAACCCCCTCCACCCCCGTTTCCTCCCTGGCCCCTCGCAGTGTGTCGAGGAGCGTTTTAAAACACAGAGAAGCGAGTCCTGAACACCGGATGGGCACTGCCCCGGGATGGGAACTAAACCGGGATAGGAACTGTCCCGGGATGGGAAACCGGGATGGGAACTAAACCGGAATGGGCCCTGTCCCATTTCCCCGTGCCCGCCCATCCCGGGGCTCTCCGGTGCCCATTTCCCCGTGCCCATTTCCCCGTGCCCGCCCATCCCGGGGCTCTCCGGTGCCCATTTCCCGGTGCCCATTTCCCCGTGCCCGCCCATCCCGGGGCTCTCCGGTGCCCATTTCCCCGTGCCCATTTCCCCGTGCCCGCCCATCCCGGGGCTCTCCAGTGCCCATTTCCCGGTACCCATTTCCCCGTGCCCGCCCATCCCGGAGCTCTCCGGTGCCCATTTCCCGGTGCCCATTTCCCCGTGCCCGCCCATCCCGGGGCTCTCCGGTGCCCATTTCCCGGTACCCATTTCCCCGTGCCCGCCCATCCCGGGGCTCTCCGGTGCCCATTTCCCGGTACCCATTTCCCCGTGCCCGCCCATCCCGGAGCTCTCCGGTGCCCATTTCCCGGTGCCCATTTCCCCGTGCCCATTCTCCCGTGCCCGCCCATCCCGCGGGCTCTCCCGCTCCCGCTCCCGGAGGAGCTGCGGGCACGCCGGGGCTCCGCCTCTTCCCGCGTGACGTCACCGCGCCGGAAAGCGGCCTCGGCGCGCCGTGACGTCAGCGCTTCCTTCTTTCCCAGGGAGGCCGCGGTGAGGTAGGAGCGGGGAGGCCGCGGTCCCGGCCCGGATCCACCGCCATCCGCGCCCGGGCGGCCGCGGGAAGGGGCCGGGGCAGGGGCGGGGTGTGGCTGAGCGTGTGGCGGGTGCCGCTGAGCTGTCCCCCCGCTGTCCCCGCAGGGCGCCATGGGCCGCGTTATCCGCGGGCAGAGGAAGGGCGCGGGCTCCGTGTTCCGCGCCCACGTGAAGCACAGGAAGGGCCCGGCCAAGCTGCGCGCCGTGGACTTCGCCGAGCGGCACGGCTACATCAAGGGCATCGTCAAGGTACGATCGCCGTGCCCGCACCGCTCTGGCCGGCCCTTACCCGTCTGGCCCGCGTTCAGGCTTCTCTGTTCTCCCATAGATCCTATTCCCTGAAAAGTTAAACTTTTCTAGGCTTGTGAGAACATCTCAGCAGGGAGGGCACCCTTGGTCAGTAGTAGGATTTTCTGCTGGAGCTTTGCTAAGAGTAGCAGTATCGGCGTGGTTTTTATGTTGGTTCAGAATTCCCTGTACCTCAGGAAACATGGCTGGGCAGTTTCCTATGTAGTTAACTGCAGCTTAAAAAAAAATACAATAAAACCCCAAATCTTTGTAAAAGCCATCATTTTAGTCTTGAGCAGTAGGAGCAAGGCAGTACCTGTATTTGGGGTGTGGTGGTGGTTCTGGGGTGTCAGGGACTGTGGAGTGCCAGCAGTGCTACTGGCTGGATGCTCTGGGCAGCCCTTCAGTGTTCTACAGCACAGTCATGTTCAGGCTGCAGAGAGAATTCTCCTCACCCTCACCTAACTGAGGTGATGATAGCAGCTGGGTAGCAAGGTTTGACTTGAACTTCATCATATGGAGGGGGTTTGGCCAACAGGGCTGAAAAAACGTCAGCAATGGACACCAGCAGTTTGTGAGCTGTCCTAAAAGACACATCTTAGAGATGTGTCAGAGTCACTTGTCTGTAAATATATGCCTAGGTATTTCAATCCCAATGTGCTTCAGGAACAGAAAGCACATGTTTCTGTCTGTGCTTCCTAATTTAGGAGCTTCAGAAATTTTGTTTTACCTGATTGCAGAATGTTAGAAATGCTTCAATCCCAAAGAAACGCATGGAGAAGTCACTGCCTGTGCCCAGCTCTGTCCTGCCCAAAGGTGCTTGGGCAAAGTGAAAGTGGATTTCTTAGTGTGAAGAGACTGGATACCTGCAGAATGTCAGGCATAAACTGCTCAGACAAGATTAGCTACAAGCAGCACATTTATCCAGGCCTTATTTTGTGATCAGTGAATGATTTGGGCTGGAAGGGACCTCAGCACTCATCCAGTTCCAATCCTGTTGCCATGGGCAGGAGCACCTTCTGCTATCCCAGGCTGCTCCAAGGCCCATCCAGCCTGGCTATGGACACTTCCAGGGATGGGGCAGGCACAGCTTCTCTGGGCACCTTGTGCCAGGGCCTGCCCACCTCACGGGGAGGGTTGTCTGGGATGGGATGTAGGTACTGGGGCTCGTGTTGTATCAGATGTGACCCTTCAGCCCTGAGGAGTGTCTTGCTGAGAATCCTCCCAGAGTGACCACCCCCTTCTTCCCGAAGCCCTTTGATTCCTGCAGAGCCCCTGGCAGGGGCTGTGTCCCGCCTAAGGCAGCTCTGCATTCCCACAGGACATCATCCATGACCCCGGGCGGGGCGCTCCGCTGGCCAAGATCGCCTTCCGGGACCCCTACCGCTTCAAGAAGCGCACGGAGCTGTTCATCGCCGCCGAGGGCATCCACACCGGGCAGTTCGTGTACTGCGGCAAGAAAGGTGGGCTGGGCTGGGCTGGGCTGGGCTGGGCTGGGCAGGGCCGGGCTGGGCAGGGCAGGGCTGGGCCGGGCTGGGCTGGGCAGGGCCGGGCTGGGCAGGGCCGGGCTGGGCTGGGCTGGGCCGGGCAGGGCTGGATGTCCCAGCTCCTGGAGTTGGGGATGCTGCCCCTGCCGCAGGGTCTGTGCTGCCGCCCTCCCGTGCTCAGCAGGGCTGTAACCCCGGCCCAGGGCCCCCAGTGAAGCTGTGGCTGCTCTCCTGCTCCTTGCAGCCCAGCTGAACATCGGCAATGTTCTGCCCGTGGGCACCATGCCCGAGGGCACCATCGTGTGCTGCCTGGAGGAGAAGCCCGGCGACCGCGGGAAGCTGGCGCGCGCCTCCGGGAACTACGCCACCGTCATCTCCCACAACCCCGAGACCAAGAAAACCAGAGTGAAGCTGCCCTCAGGCTCCAAGAAAGTAATTTCTTCTGCAAACAGGGCTGTTGTGGGTAAGGATCAATCGCTGTGAACTTGTCACTGAATCTTCCAAACAAGGCCCCACTTTTAACAACCATCTTGGAAATAGTGTCATGTGCAGGCTGGACAGTCTGTGCTCAGATGCCTGGCTTGTGCTTTACTCCTGCATTACATTTGCATGTTGCTCACCTAAATTTGGAGGTTTGACCTAGTGAGAGGACAGAAAAGTAGATGCTCACTGTCCTCAGGCTGTAGTAGAATTGCCCAGCCTGTGAAATCTGCAGTCCCTGGGGAAGGACTTGCATGGGAAATGGCATTTTGGTTTCCTGCTCTTGGTACACTGAAGGAGCCTGGTGTTGGTGTCTGGTGGGTGGAGTGTTCTGGGGGGTCTGACAGGGAATGACAAAACCACTGCCAAGCAGCAGAGGCTGCATCAGGTTTGTTGTGCACCTGACTGGCAGCTGAGATGGCTGCTGGTGACACTTGCCTGCCTCTGCATGGAAGACACCAAAGTGAGTAATCTGGTGTGTTAATCCGGTAAAATTGACTCAGTAAATCATGAAACAAGTAGGTATTTGACCTCAAAGTTCTTCACAGTCCCCTGAGCTCTTTCAATTCATACTTCACTTGAAAAACTTAATGTTGCTCAGGAAATCGTAGCAGTAAAACTGGCAGTGCTTTGAAATAAAGCTCAATCCTGTGTGTATTGCATCAGAAAAAAGGCTGTAGCTCAGCTCTGATGTCACTGTTGGCTTTCCGTGGTACTGGTGTGTGCTGTGTTTGGGTGTCGCCATTCCTGCCATTCCCTGCAGGAATCGTGGCTGGTGGGGGCCGTATTGACAAGCCCATCCTGAAGGCCGGCCGTGCCTACCACAAGTACAAGGCCAAGAGGAACTGCTGGCCACGTGTCCGTGGTGTGGCCATGAACGTGAGTCTGTTTGCAGTCACCCCTGTCCCTCTGACAGTTCAGGAAAGATTTGTGGGATGTTGGGACGAGCCTGGCATGTGTCTGGGAGGGAAGCTTCCCAGATAAATGTGCAGCCACAGGGTGCATTAGCAGCATTGATGGTGCGAAGTGAAGCAGTTATTCCTTTGTCCCCTTTAACCTGTTTATTTCTGTTGACATCAGTTTCTGTGGTTCATTGCTGTCTTGCTTTCCCCCCGCACAGCCTGTGGAGCATCCCTTCGGAGGAGGCAACCACCAGCACATCGGGAAGCCCTCGACCATCCGCAGGGACGCTCCCGCGGGACGCAAGGTCGGGCTGATCGCCGCGCGCCGCACGGGGCGGCTGCGGGGCACAAAGACTGTGCAGGAGAAGGAGAACTGAGCTCCCACCCTGCGGGCCACGCAATAAATTTGTACTACAGAGCTCTTGGGGAGTTGGTGGTGTCTGCTGCTGCAGTGGGATAAAACTGGGATTGTGTTCGGCACAGGAAGTTGTGAGTGGAGATTCAGGGGGTTTTCCCCTTGCCTTGGAGAGCAGGAATTCTCTCAGCCAGCACTTCCACTCTGGAGTAACGCTGCTGGGGATGCTCTTGTGCCGTGGTGAGATGTTCATGTTGGCCTGGTTCTCTGGAAGCT